AAGTGGCGGGGGCGGGGCCCGGGCGCGCGGGCACTGGCGCTCCCCGGCGGCGGCGCGCGGAGCAGAGCGGGAGCGCGCGGGGATGGGCCTGGTAGGGCCCTGCTCTGCCGTGCGGGAAAGGGGAGAAGTGGAATGCGTGGGGTTCCTTCGCAATCTCTGCTGGCTCCAGCCTCAGTACTGCCAGGATTAATTACATCCAATTGTTGTGCTACCGAGACAACACAGCCGTATCGGAGCCGAGCGCGGCCCGTCGCCTGGCGAGGCTTTCGCAGGCGGCGGCGCTTTCCTCGCCCGCCTTTTTCCGGTGTCCTTCCCTCGGCACTGACACGGCGCGGCAAGGCTGTCCCTGGGAAATAGGTGCTGGGCCCTAGTGTGCTGCTTAGACCTCTTTGCGTGCTTAGGAGAACTCAGGGATCCCGAATCTGACCGGTGTCACAGACACAGGGAGCTGCGACGGTAACTTGTTAACACGACTGCACCTGCTGTGCCCTTGCACCTCGGCCGCTGTTCTCTCAGCAGGGAAAAATCGCTCGTGGGCAAATTCCTGATGGTTCTGTTCTCTCAGCAGGGTAAAATCGCTCGTGGGCAAATTCCTGATGGTGCCTGCTCTGGCAGAGCGATCGTGCTGGGTAGGTTTACAAGGAGCCGGAGCCTGGGAAGAATAGCAATTAGAAACCACACTACGCACCAGGCAGTCACTAGGGGACCTGTTCTAGGACGATTTCCTGTGACAGAGAGTATCCTGATCAATTACATCCTGTAGGTAAAATGTTACCCTGAGCTAATGTAGTGAGCTGACCGTGGCTGGACCCCAGGTACTCACTACAGCCACTCTCTCACTCCCCTCTGCAACTGGCCAGAGGAGAGAAAAAAAAAAAGCCAGCAAAGGGTTCATGAGTTAAGAGCTGGGAGAGGTCACTTACTGATCACCATCACGGGCAAAAGAGACTGAAAGTGGGGATATTAATTGAATTTATTACTAACAGGGTCAGATTAAAAGAATGAGAAGTAAAATATTCTTAAAAACACCTTCGCCCACCCCTCTTTCCTTCCATGTTCTCCCTCCTTCCCCGCAGTGGTGCAGGGGAACAGGGAATGGGGTTTCCCGTCAGTTGCTGTTTCTGCCGCTGCTCAGGGAGAGGAGTCCTTCCCCTGCTACCGTGGGGTTCCTCTCATGGGAGACAGTCCTTCGTGGACCTCTCCGGCACAAGTTCATCCCACAGGCAAAGGTTCTTCATGAAACTGCTGTCCCATGGGTCACTTCTCCATGGGCTGCAGGTGGGTCTCTGCACCCCGATGGTCCTCCATGGGCCTCCAGGGGCACAGCTGCTCCACCATGGTCTGCACCATGGGCTGCAGGGGCCTCAGCTCCTGGAGCACCTCCTGTCCCTCCTTCTGCTCTGACCTTGGTGTCCACCTTGTTGTTCGCATGTTCTCACTCTGCTCTTCCCTGACTGGAATTCTTTCTGCACAATACCTTTCTGTTCTTCAGTATGTTATCACAGAGGCGTTACTATCACTCCTGTTTGGCTCAGCCTTGGCCAGCGGCAGGAAATTTGTCCTGGAGCCGTCTGGCATTGGCTCCACCGGACAGGGGAAGCTTCTAGCAGGTTCTAGCAGAAGCCAACCCTGTAGCCCCCTCGCTAGCAAAACCTAACCACAGAAACCCACTACAACCAGTTAAGGGAAAATAAATCACATAATTTATCACACATGACATTTTCCACTGAGTTACTTAAATGCTGGTGATACCATACTGTTAATGGTATTTGAAGGTGTAGAGCGAATCAGCCACACATCTCTTATTGTTCCTTAAACTGAAAAAATAAAATAGGTTTACCAAGAAGATGAGAGGTAAGAAATAATTTGTATGCATGGGTTTCTTTAAAAACGCACACAGATTCTGTGGGAACACAGACAAATTTCACTTCACAGCCTTCCACAGGACAGAATGGAAAGATGCAGCCATTGCAAGTAAGATCATAAATACATAAAGCATACAAGTATTCAGAAGCTTACCACTGGTTACTCTGTGATGCACTGTTATATTTATAAAACTCTTAATTAAAGTAAGCAGCTGGGGGCTCTGAGCCACCTGATCTAGTTGAAGATGTCCCTGCTCATGGCAGGGGGGTTGGACTAGATGGCCTTCAAAGGTCCCTTCCCACCCAAGCTATTCTATGATCTTGTGATGCATTAGGGAATAAGTTCTTGAGTTTCTCACTAAGATTTATAACTTTATAAGATTTTTTTCTATAAGCCAGAATTATTTTATACCACACAAGGGGCAAAAGCTCAACCAAGTCAAGTCACTTGTGCGAATTTCAGCTGAGATTATGAAGTCTATTGTACCTAAAAGTTCTCTGTACCAAACTGTTATCTAGCTTAGCCAGCCTCTTGTCTCTTTTCTACAGAGTCCTGTGTATTTGTTACCAGTATCTTCCCTCAGACCTTGCAGAAGTTTGTGTTCTTGTTGTATTTTGTGATGGAAGCTTTTATACATCAACCAGATACAGGATACTCTCTAGTTCCTTGAAGACCAACCCATTCTTATCCCTACTGGGAGAAACTACTTATGTTTCTGCATCTATAATGATTTACATACTAAGATAAGGCCTGTAGGGACAAGTGACTTGTATCAGACAACAGAATATGTTAGTAAAGCAAACGACTGATTTTTTTATGTCTCGGTAGGGAGAGGGGAAAGCAGCTGGGGAGGAATCTTTTATGTAGCATTTAATCTATTTAAAGATGGTGCTTATTTACATACCTTGCCATTCCTATATAAAGAGTCTCAGGCATTTTCTAATATTATCCAAGTAGTTCCACCTTGATTTTTCTCTAGTCATCCAAGGTGATACCCATCTCTCAATATGAAATGTTTATTTTCTGTTTCCAAGTTAATGAGAAATCAATGAATTAGTGAGGATTAAATATTTTCTCTGGTATTAGCAATTTCATTTACCAAATATTTAACAAATTTAACAACAATTAATTCATATGTAAAGTTCAAGTTAATGAACTTCACAGGATACTATTTCCAAGCAAGCATCTGTCACAAAACTTCAAAAGGGATCAAGTTAGGGATTAGCAATTTTAACAATGATTTCTTAATGTTTTTCATCTTGATCCCTGTCCCCTGGGTTAATGTTGTTCATACCACAGTACTGGTATCAATATCTTTTTAGGCTAGTGTAAAATACCTGTGAAGTAATCCCAGATACAAAAGTGCTGCAGGGTTAGGTCCTACATATTCCATCTGGGAAGAGCTGATATTGTTCATATTTCAAGTAAATGCATGCACCACTGGAAATGGGTCAAAAAATGGCTCCTATGAAGAACAGGTAGAGTACTGATTACTCTTTTGTCACTGTCTAGTTTGGGAAAATACCATTGAGTTATATGAAATTAAATTGCCCGAAGTATAAGCTGAGTCAACAAGATAGTGTTTGGGGGGTATAGTTTTTTTTCAAACCATTGAATTATAGTACAAGGACATGAAGTTGGGGTTTTTTCTGTTTGTTTGCATGGTTGGTTGGTTTGGTTGGTTGGTTTGTTTTGTTTTTAACTGAGGACAACTATTATATGCTACCACCAAAGGCAAAACTTGAGCTCTCAATGCCATATGATTAAGTCACAGCATCAGATATACAAATTTGGAATTATTCTCTACCTTTCTCTAAGCAGGCATCAACCTGTGCTTTTTCATTCTGGGCAGCTTGCAGGGCCAGAGTAGTCAGATACCGCTGCCCACAGATAGCCCATGTCTGTGACCTAATTCTTCTTTTCTCCCTGTGGTGAATTCCATCTGTTTAGACCTGGAGAAATAGACCAATATGTTACTTTAATACTGCAGGGAGTTGATTATGCCTTCTGTATATATTTTATTTTACTTGGCATATCCTGCTTCATCAGCTTTGTAGGTATGTTTAAAAGTCTTTTTCATCAAATGCTACCAATGCAAAACACCAATGCAGGATGAAGAGAACGAAAATACTTAAACATGAAACTTGCGCATCCCTCCTGTGGTCTTTGATGCTTGAAACTTTGTGTAATTTCAGTGCTAGAGAAAAAAATGGATTCTAAGTTGTTTGCTTAACATTGCTAAGCTGTGATCTCCATTCCCTCTCAGTGGAACTGTGTAGTCACACATACACACAAGAGTTTTAAGTGCACGTGCGCTGGAGAGGGTTTTCCCAGTAGGCTGCATAGTCTATACAGGATTTCCTTTTACAAGTGTTAAATGACTGTCTTAATTTATAAGTTACCATGTTAAAGAGACTGTATACAAAGGATGTCTCAGTCTCTGGATCGTTATATAGACATTCTGGTTTTGGACAGAATTGTTGCAGGTGTGTGTCCTCTGGTGTCTCCCTAAGGACAATGATTCAGACACTAAAGTCTGCTAGGTAATTGAGGAAAAAGTGACATGTGTGTTCTTTATGAAGGTTAATCAGATTCTTAAACTAATAAATTTAATGTTTTTCCCAAAATCGGACTAATCACAAGTATCTGCTCTCCACAGAGACACATTCTAAATATTCTGTGCATGAAGGAGCAGACACTTGACTCAGAAGCACAAAATGTTTTTGCTCACAGGGCACGCAGATTAGTCTTGCATTTCTCACAGGAATGCTGCAGAAATGAGATTAAGCAATATAATTTTAAAGTCTGGAAAAGTGGTAATCACGAGGCAGAGGCTCTAAGTTAAGCCACAGAGTACATAGTTAGAAAGAAAAAACCCAACCTTTTCATTTCTCTGTTCTGTGCATAGTTAAGGAATAATACCTTCTTACTTGTCAGGATTATAGGATTACATCAAAGTAAAACAAACAGAAACAACCCTCCCCCAAACCAAACCAAAACCCCCCACTACACCAAATACTTAAATGAAAAATTCTTCAGAGGTACACAGCATAATTCTTGGACTTAAAATGCCTAGTTCTGGGTTTTCAACAGGTTTGCTACGCTTACTCCTAGAAGAAATGTTATTACCATTACCTTTGGTAAGCTTTCAAAATGACACGTATGTAAATTTTTAAATGCATCACTGCATCCAAGCATGAAATCTGGTGTTAGTCACTGCTGTTTGGGATTCCCTCTGCTGCTTAGAAAATTAAAGAACTGGAACAGTTTCTATAGTTATCTTAAAATGATTGCCCATACTGAAAAACCCAAAATGCTTTTATAAAGCAGTGCCTCTTGAGTACGTTCCTTTGCTTTTCCTGCTCTAATTTCAAGATTCCCCTTTTCATTATAGAACTGGTAATAGATAAAGACAGATGCCCTGTTTGTCATATCTCAAGACGCCTCTCAAAACCATTTCATGAAGACAGAGAAATGCCAAAACAATAAGTCCAATATAGATCAAGAGCAGGTTGACAGCTGTGATAGTCTTTAGAACAAAATATTTTATTCATCAATAAAACTATAGTTTACAGTAGTATTTACTAAATAAATTATAGAATTTCTCTTTTACAAGAAATAAACCAAAATCAAAAATATTTCAAAGGCAACATATTTACACAACATAAGGCCTTGTTATAAATAACATTTTTTTCTCATTTTTACGAACAGTAAAAGTATATTTAGAGGCTCATTTTCATATAGTATGTTCAGAGTTTTATCCTAACTCTTGTGATATCAGTTCCAATTTCCACTGATATGGACTTAAGAGATTAGAACTGAGGGGTCAAAACAAATGAAATTAATTTTATTCATAATTGTGCTTATTCTGAAATAGGTGAAGCAGATAATAGATTTTGCTTGTGCATAGTTACAGAATGCATGCAAATGAAACCACTAGAGACCTGATAAGAAAATATTACTTCCAAGTCCAAAAAAGGTGATTGGCAATTTAGTAGAAAGCAGCCTGAATACACAGTTCTTCCCAGTTCAGCAAGCAACAGCAGATGACAGCAGAATGTGGAATGTATCATGTCATTTTTGCCAAGTCCATCAATCCTTTCTGTGGTTCAAAGATCCTGACACTTCTTACAATAAGTTCAGTTGATTATTACTCTTTGTCTATTAGGCTCAGCAAATTTCTCCTTCTTAAATGAGGAGTGCAGAAAGTGCTCTTCATTAACCATGGTCACTTCTCTTAGTTTTACTCTTCTCATATTCTTTTTACTGGAAATACAGAAATGATAAATAAAGTCAATAGTTGTGTTTATTTGTTTTCTTACAGAATTATAAACAGGTAACATCTTTCTTCCTCTAAAGAGGCCGCAGCACAATTTGGCAGTGATTCTTTTCTTACCTTGACCCCTAATCAGAAGCATTGAAGTCTCTTTTCTCACGCAACAGATAACCCTATGGGTTTGCAGACCTTGCAGTATACTTATATTACCTGAACTAGAACTACTTGCTGCTGCAAAATGCTGAACATGAGAGAAGACAGTACAAACTGAGAGCACTCAGCAACTCACTAGAGCTTTTTTTTAATCTTGAATTGACTGTGACCTTTATTACTTAAAAGTGTTAGTGGAAAAATGTCAGTCTTCATAGTCATGAATAAAAGTCCTGTTAGCTTCTGCATGACACCCTTCCCCAGTTGAAAAATCATACCTGCCCAAAAACTTTCAGGCACAACTAATGTTCTAGTCAATGTTGTAGCAATCATTCCATTTCACACAAAAAATTACTTAATAATGTTAATGGATTAGAGTTTTCTACAGTACCCGTTACAGAACCAGTGGTTATGTAATACAAATTGTTAATCACTTCTAAGCATTTCTGTAGAGTCAGAGATGTGTTGAAGAGAAACTGACAGCTGAACAAAACATTTCAGTAAATTGAAGGCATCTCAGCTAATATGTCCAATATGGAGCAAGAAACAAAATCAAAACAAAGTCTGTAGTGACCTTACTCTAAAACCTTGTTAAAAAACCTAACAAAGGTGTAAGTTCCATTTATTCAATAGACTTTGAAGGTCACCTTTACATTTTACTTGTCAATACAAGCACTAAACTAACCTTTAAATAGTTTGACAACAGTCTAGTCTTAATTATGAACTAAAAATATCTAAAGGCATTTCTAAAGCTTATCTTAGAGAAAGGTAACTACTAGATTTAAATTAATATTTTAGTTATGTCTTCTAGCTCTTGAACTTCAGGAAATGAAATTAATATCATTCTATGGCAACATTTAAACTTCCTACTGTATTATGCACCAGTGTAAGGTTGTTCATAATCATTGATGCTAGTGAGCACAGTGCTAATTTCTCAGGGGCTGTTCTCTCTCTCTGTGTAATGTGGTTTGGCAATTAAAGTCTATCCACTGTGCTAAGGGAGTAAAGTACTTATAGGATGCAAACAATTTAATGTGCAAACGGAAACTGCTGGACAAGTGAGTAAAATAAAAAATGTTCTAAAATCAATATGATGCAAGGTTAAAAAGGAGGGGGGTTTTTTGTTGGTTTTTTTTTTTTCCAAGAAACAGTTTGGCAAAAAAACTTGAAAAATACTAGTACTGATAAACAAAATAATGTTGTATGAAGCCAAGACAAATTAATCAAAATTTGCACTAGCACCATCTAGTTTCTGTCTGAAAGCTCAGATCTGAATGACTGCCGGTCCATTTCTGACAGATGGTCACTCAGCACAATTTCTGACCCTCTGGACTTATTACTACTTTTCACTAAGGAGACTAGCAGTGTTGCTGATGTTGGCTTTATGCTATTCCGCTAATTATGCAATGGAATTATGGCTAGCTTGTACTTGTTCTTGCTCCCTTTCCTCTGATCCTTCCAAAGCATTTCAGAGTGACCAACAATGGAAAAAATTCCAATAAAATTTGCATAACAAAGTTGGAGAAAAGAGATCTAACAGGAACTTGTAGCAACTGCTAACTGTGAGTCAATCGCAGAAATGCTGTTGATGGTACTGATGCCATTTTAATGAGATGGGATTTTTGGATGTTCATATTTATGAACAGGTACACTCCAGTACTGTACATATTACTCTGGAAAACACTCCATCTATTTCAAGGGGCAGGACATGATCCCCTAAGCAACTTTGTATCCACTGCACAACTTTTGGGGTTACCTTGATTACAGATAAAAGAAACATTTTTTATTTTTTTATTACAACTGATTTTAGCCATAGCACTTTGGTCTAAAATGATAAATAATGCACAAATGACACTACAGGATGCATTCCTATAATCACTGTCTCAGATGTCTCACATTGGGTATATAATGGATTTACAGTGTTTGAGCCTACTTGAGTCCTTTTGTATTGGAGCATTTTTGTGCTCCAGTTCTCTTTCCATGGATATGTTTTTGAGCTGATTGATTACCTCATAAGGTGCTTTAAAAGCTCCAGGCATGAGAACATGTAGTTCAGCGACAATATGTGCTGGCATTTTAGCACTTGGCTTACTCAGGCAATGTATGGCTTGTAATCTGAATTGGTACCTTTTTAATCTAACCAAGCACATAATTCCCATGTCTGATTTTCATGCAAGAGTGACTGAAATGTTCCTTTTTACATAATGTTGCTTCTACAAGAACACCTCTGCCAAACTACATTCAAGTGTTCATTTTTTTTTTCACCTCACACTAGGCTTCAGTTGTATGGGAGACATAGGCCTCTTTTCTTTTTAGGATCATGCATGGATGAATACAGGGATAAATAACAGGATAGATAACAGAGGAAAGGAGCAGTTAACCTCACTGCATAAAACAAGTAGGTTTGCCCCCTTCAGCCTTAAACAAGATTCTGTTTTGAGGAGAGTGCTTGATTGGTTCCATTATGGGCATGTAACATTCTAAAGATTAGTATGCTGTCAGGGATAAGAATGTCTGTAAGCAAGGACGCCTTAATTCCTTTCCCATAGTCCCAGAATTCAGGTTCAGTCCACTGTGTTTTGCGATCAGTATCTTCAGAGTAAATAGTGAGGCAGAGAAATTGAAGCCTCCATAAAGAGCAACATATCAAAATTTGAGGTATGCTGCACAGTGTGATGTACAACTTTTAGTTTGTTTTTACATGTATCCTGTCTGGGAACTGCTTTAATTTCAGCTGCACTTATTATTCCACAACAGCACCCTGAAGAAAACTAAACCATGACTAGAATTTAATTGAAAATATGAGAGTGAGTACAGAAGAAAAGGAGTACTGAAGAGTAAGAAGAGTCAGACAATTTTGACAGTTTCTAAACAGGCATTTTATAGATCAATATTTATAAACCTGATTACCTTGCATCTACAGCAGCTTTAAAATGCAAAATTAATCTCCAGCAATGTTTTAATACTTCCAAATTCTGTAATAAAACTGGCATTTGCACACAAACCACTACCTAAGTAATTTTAAATGTAATAGTATGACCTACACAATTCATCTGACGCAAATCATAGATACACTAACCAGACTCTAAATACACTGGGCTTGCTCATCACAAGTTATTCCTTTATTTTATTTTACTGAAGCCCTTATCGATCCCTATCTTCAGTGGCAGTGACTTCTAAATCATATACAAATTTTGTGAGCCTTTCCTAGCAATCTCTATTTCCATGTGAAAATTTCTATACTACCCAAGAACCTTGCATTGTATTTAAGTATACAGATGTATTCTTTAAATTGAACCATTTAAAAATGGTTCACTAATGAAATCCTATAGGCAGGACATATATTTATTTATTTATTAAATCCTATATTTACCACCAGATGATTAAGACAAACAGCATCACAGTTGAACAAACTTTAAAGTTTGTTGTTGTGCTATTTGCATGCATGTCCTTGTTCTGCTGGAAGTGTAAAGGAAATCAAGCGTATTTGAAGTAAATCAAATAAAGAAATGCCTAAGCTTTACTACTCTGATTTTACTGATGTTGTAGTTTGACAAAATAGTATGTTCAGCTACCTTTATAAATAATTTCATGGGAAGGCTAAAAAAACACAGTAGGATAGTTTATAATTGCACATGTTGCTTTTTCAGGGACAGAAAACTCAATCAAAGGATTTGAGACTTCACTGCAGAACAGAAGGAACAGGGTGATTTCAAGTTATTCCTTACTTTTTAAGTGAAATTATGATTTTTAAGGCAGTCCATAGTAAGAGTGGACTAAAGTTGTCAGAATTGGTTGGACTTGCTGATCGTAGATCACTCTTAAGAACCTTTTGCAGGATTTGACTTGTATTTTTTCCTAATCAAATTCTGTAGAATACTACAACTGTCATGTTCAATAGCATTTGCTGACATTTAATGCTTATCTGACAGTGCCTGAACCGACACCAACAAATAGGGCTTTAGGGGAATTTAAACAAGAGACTAAGTTTATTTCCAGAAGAAGAAGGAAACACTGCTTTAATCTGTTGTTTTGTGGATTTCTATATCAAAGTGCTAAATAGAAGAGTGTTACGTTCTCTGCTTCTTAGTTACATACGGGAAACCTGTTTATCTCAGATGGCACCTTCTGTTTCAAAGTATCTGATCTATCATTGTATTACATACTCATAAAAGCAAGAAGCCTTTAATGTTTTAAAGGTATGCAGAGAAACATTTAAAATTTCCAAGTATTTTATATATCTGCTTCTATCTTTCTGCACTATTTAATTGATAATTAAAATTATTTGTATTGATTACTCAGTATTTCCCACTCTATGGTAGTAGAATATTTGGAAATAATTTAGATTGGCTTATACCCGCTGCTCATTGGAGATGATGCTTAGTCATATTTTAGTCATAAAAGCAAGATTTCTGAAGCCATTATCTGGGTTAAAAAATTTATGAGAAAATAAACCAGTGGTATTTCAAAGTCAAATTTGGATTTGAGGATGTTCCTAACAGTGCTGCTTAGAGTGGCAGATGCAAGAAATGCTGGTTTGCTGAACTTGGTCTTTTTTCAGAACTGAGGAATTCTGAGCCCAGACCAGCATTCAGTTGTGTACTCAAGATATCTCTTCACCTGTGTTCTTGACCAAAACCTGCTGCTGTTACCAGGTAAATTCCCAATTTTGACATCAGCAGCACAGTGTGAGTCTGCAGTAATATCCCAAACCCAATACTCTGACTTGTAAGAGAAACTTTTACTTTTACAACCTCTGTTCCACCCTACCTTACTTGACTGTCTGAATTTCCACATAACACTCTTCAGAAAATGCCATTTAAAGCTGCATTTCATAGCAAATTAACAATATGTAATTTAATGACAATTTCTTTTTTTCTTTTCTTTTGCAGTCAGTGGACCAGAAATTCATAGCTCTTAATTTACTAGAGGATGAAAATTTGTCTGGGCAGTTTAGCATTTCAAAGCAGGAGGCAAAGACATCAAAGGATTAGTTATGACTGAAATTAAGCAAGTTAAGATACTTTTCATTATAATATATAGTGGGTAAGACTACAGCAGTTTGCCTTGTAATAGAAACACAGACAAGGCTTATTAATTACAGAGTAAAAGGAAAATCTGGGAATGCCATTAAAAGCTAAATTTTTCTCCTCATGCTTTTAAAAGGTCAAAATGTATCTTGTAACCTTTTCTATTGAGGTTTAGATCAGCTAATGCAGACATCATTGATTTGCTTTATTTTTGAGACATACATTAGCAATGACTGGGCTAGTGTTCTCAAAAACATGCATCTTTTTCTTCTAGCATGCATTTAATCATCCTCCAACAACAACAAAAAAATCTACCTTCTGCTCAGCAGTACTGAATCAAACTGATAAAAAACACCACTTTATAAGTGATAATATTTTAGGATCATCAGGCTTTCCCAAACAGAGGCTAATTGTTGTTTCCGAATCCACCGAAGGGTATTGCGGGGTATTAGGAAGAAACAGATTAGTAGAAAAAACAGTATATTATTCCTTTTTTTTTCCCAAACACCTCAGGATAGATCCAGGGTACATGTGATTAAATTACAGCTCACTTCCACAGCAATCTCAAAACAGTTAAATAGCATCCATACAGTGTGTGGGACAAGAGAGAGAAGGCAGGGGTAAGTAACTGCTCAAGATGAGTTTGCCACTTAAGACATAAGACGTGCTTAGCCATGGTATCCAATTTTCTTGAAGCTGTCAGCTGTTACATACCTAGACAGTTCAAGTATGTGCCATTACCCTGATTATTGAATTTTGGGGTTTGTTTTTTTTCAGGATGGAGAGAAAGGTGTTGCTAGGTCAAAAAAAGCATCTATGATTCTCTCCACTTAAGACCTATTTATACCTTCAGACCTTGACTAAGGTGAATAAACACTGGGTATTTGTATAACATCCAGAGTTGGGTTTTAATTATTTTTCTGTTGATAATTCATCAATGGAATACACATACACTTACTGCAGACTCCCAAACATAATAGTAATGAATGTTTTACAAGCCAAAAACTAACTAAAGAGATCACCATCACACCTGAAACTCACACAGACAGCTTTACAGAAGGTATTACCTATGTCTGTCACTGGAATTTCAGAGCATTCCACCATCTACACTACAGACTTCAAACCCAAAAAGAACTACTTCACATTGCTAAGCAGTGTTAGTGATAAACAAGATTGTTGTTTTATAAACTAAATTCAAAAGCTGTCAACAACAAATGGTTTCATTGTTCAAATGGGGCCAAGAGAACTACAGAACAGCCCAGGCTGAAGGGATTGCAAGAGACCATCTAGTCCAACCTTTTGCAGAAAAGGGAGCCTGGATGAGATTATCGAGCAAGTAAGACCTAACTCTTTCAGTCTTTCCTCAAATGGCACATTCTCCTCAACTTTGATCTCTTCATGGCACTCCTTTATACCCTCTTCAGTTTGTCCACATCTTTTTTTGAATTGTGCGGACCAGAGCTGGACATACTATTCCCTGTGCAGTCTGACAAGCACTGAGTCTGTTTCTTAAAAACTCCTAGCACTCACATGTTGCTTTGCTCTTCACGCATGCTTCCCATTAAAGCCCTCTCATCTGGGCTCTGAGTATACTGAAGCTGGTATGTCTAAAATTCAGGGCCTTTGTCCTACTACTGGTCTTCACTATGCTTAGCAGGACCTTAAACTCCACAATGTTGTGATTGCTGCATCCAAGGTTATCATTTGAAGTTATGTTGACAAGTATGTCTTCATTTTGTGAGTAGTAAACCTAGCAACACACTGTTCCTACTCAGCTTGACCAGCACCGGTAGCAGGATGCAGCCCTCATGTACTCCAAGAACCTCATGGACAATTTGTGCATTGCTGTACTGTTCTCCCAACAAATCCCTGGGTAATCGAAGTCACCTGTGATGCCCAGGTTCTGTTGGCTCAATACTTGCTTGAAGAGACAAAGTAAAGTTTTGTTGGCCTTGTCATCTGGTTGGAAGGCCAGTAACATATACTAATATTCTCTTAAAGCATTTTATAGACCTTTTGTGGTCTCCACAGCTTACCTTCCTAAACTCAGATTTCTCTTTTTTTTTATGAAGTGCAACTCCATTTCCTCTCCCCATCTTTGCAAAAGAGTTTGTAGTCATCCATTGTGTTCTTCCAATCATGTGAGTCTTCCCACAAAGTTTCTGTGATTCCTATCACATCATAAGTCAGACTGGGCATGGAGCTGCAGTTCTTCCTCTTTGTTGCCCAGACTTCATGCACTGATATACATGTGCTTGAGGTGGTTGGACTCAGGGTTCTTGCCTTTGTAAAGTGTTGGGAAGTATTCCCCACTATTCTAGTACACCTACATGCGCATCCTTGCTGTTGTTTATGAGTGTATAGGTGTTACTGTTACAGCTGTGGATCCTACCCTCAAGTTATTTAGTTAAAAGCATAGTTCATTTAAGTCAGCCAATCTGCTAGCAAGGTTAAGTTGTGTGTGATTAGTCATTTGTTCATTTCAGGATTTCTGAGTCCCTCTTAACAGACCATTTTGGTCAACATTAGACCAGCAATGAGCCCAATTAACACAAGTCTTACAGGCATAGGCTGATCTAATGGGCTACTTGAGTTCACAGTTAACTAAGTCAATTCTACATATAATTGACCACTGGTACTTGCTACTGTCTTGTTTCAACGGAGGCAGGACAAACAACTTTCCTAAGTGTGCTGGACTATTAAACTGGTAGCTATTAAGTGGGTACTATAGATATTCAAGTGTTGCTGGCTAAAAAGAAGAAAAAAAAATCAGCGGTACAGCCTACAGAGAAAAAAAATGTGACAAACGTTTCATCTCGATGAAAGATCAGATACAAACATGTTTCATCTCAACAGAAGAAAATTTTTTTCTGGACAAATAATTAATCATTGGAAAAACATCTGCAGGGCTGTGGTAGAGTCCCCATTGCTGGAGGTTTTCAAGATGGACTGCAACGGGGCACTGGATAATCTTATCTAGGCTCCCTTTCCCAGGAAAGGTTGAACCAGATGATCTCTTGAGGTCCCTTCAACCTGCGCTGTTTTATGATTCTAAGATATTCTGGATCTCTTAAGACAAAGATTAGGTAACTAGAGATAAGAAAAATAAAGAATGCAATCAGTTTAACATGGAGTATTCAACATGAAGAGGAAAGATATTATTGTTTTTGGTTTGAATTTTTGTGGGTTTTTTTTTCCCCCTCAAAGGGAAAACAAATAACAGGAAAGAAACTCCTACCATTAGAGAAAAATGAAAAGGCATTTTGGCATACTTCGTTATTAACACAGTGGTTAATAGGTATTTAGATTCTTTAGGGATTTGCTTTGGTGGGGTACTTAAGCATATGTTTCATCTGAAAAATACCTCAATGAACCTCTGGATCTTGAAGTTAAGCAGGTATTTTAGTCACTTTCTGAGCCTGAGTTAAAGAAATTACAGGAGAAACTGTTTGACAACTTACTAAGTAGACATCCAAAACTGAAGCATTATCATTTTCCATTTCCAGTGTGCTCTGTTCTGAAGTCAAATAGATAGCACTGTCTTCCAAAGTGAATGTTGAACTTGAAGGTAACCCTTTACTGCAAAGAGAGGGGAGACTAAATCAACCAGAAATCAAAGTTACAGAGAGCTCAGTCATAGTCAAAAATTTAAAAGTAAGTTTCTCTCTTAAACATAAAAATCTTCAAATACTTGAAAAAAAGGAATGTAAATGAACAAATATAAATGTTTTGGCAATGGCTAGATAACTGGAAGGTCATATTTGACTAACATAGACAAACCACAGTTTTTATTTTTGGATTAACTAAAATTTTATCAGAAAGTAATGCTGTTCCTGAACTCCTATATTTATTTAAAGAATGAAACTGTCACAGTAAATTTGACAAAATTTCATTCATTTCAAATTATGTTACTTCCACATTACAAATGGTATAAATTTGGGCAGCCTTTCTTAATTCAAAATAGGGAAGAAAGGTTTGGCAATTAGCACAGTAACAGCGGACTTTTTCATGCAGACACAGGACACTTGCAGCCAAAAGTTCAGGAGGAAAAGTGGGAGAAGAACAAGAGCATAATGTAATTGGTACAGCTTTGCAAGGAAGTGGTGTTTACAGAGCAGGTGCATTGTATTACTTCATTCACAGATTGATTTTTGTTCTCTGCTATTCAGAAATAATGTTAAACTGCAAATGTATCTGCATAGAAATCCTGTTTTTTAAACATAGTTGGTTCACAAAGCTGAAACTCTCAAAGGTATTTTAAAGGAGGCAGGTGTCCATTATCTCATATCCTTACTAGCTGCCAGAAACTAGGATCCAGGCTTGGAAAACTCAACTGTCAATTGTGCAGAGACACATTTTGAAAGTTTTTACCTATTTACACACAAGATGAAAAACAAAAAATTCTGCATTGTAACTGGATGTGAAAACATGGTTACAAACATCAGTCCAGATATGACTAATTACCCCCTCCCTTTGTGTTACTTTAAGTATGTTTCAGATGGGATATGACTTCAGTAAGGGCAAAGCTAGTATGCGAAGTAGAAAACAGATTCAAATGCTCAACAAAATAATGGATCATTGATGCATCACCCTCATGTCATACTGGCATTAAGAGCCCAGCATTACATTCATCACATTACAATGTTCCTTTTATTATACAATGTATTAGGCATTTTTTTCTAAAGCAAGAGTATTTCTTTTGTACTGAGAATGACCCAGGCCCCACTGACTTAGTAACACTATTCGCACACCTGCAACTTGAATTCTGCAGAGCAGCATTTCAGTCACATCACTTTTATGCCAATCCTTCATTTTACCATCTCCCACAAAATAAACTCTGGTGTGAAACACTTAGACAACATTGTTTTCTTCTAATGCCTGCCTATATCATTAAGAATATATCGTCCTGTAAGAATAAGTGACATATGTATTAGTCATTTGTCTAAAAATGTTTTTTGATGCTTCTTCAGAACTGCAGATAGAAGCATTATGCTTTTTAGGCCAGTATTCTTTGATCTGTTTTTGTGCTAGTTTCTTGTTCATTCCTTGTCACAGTATTGTTGCTCCAACAAAGCATAATGTATAAGCAAATTAAAATAAATTGTTCATTTCATTAGTACCCCTGAACAATTTTAGATATTATGCATTAGTATGAAAACATGTTGTTAAACTACTACAGCTGTAATTCTATTATAGGAAGAAAAAAAAATGACCATACAAATGACCATAAAGCACAAAAAATTTTTCAGATACAACAAAATATAGGTTCTATCAGCACATTAATGAGATATACAAATGACAGGCTTTTTTTCAAATAACTGAGTTAAAACTGACAGACAACACGGAACTTTCTGCATAAAAGAGTAAAAATAAAAAAACTTGTAATTATTCTCTTGACGGCAATAAACATGCTGTTGGTAACTGAAAGGTCAAATTTCAGCAACAGCATCATCATAGCTGCACTTACTGCGAGTTTTAATGGAGCTTCTGGTAAGGCCAAGACAAATTGGTGGGGGTGGGGGGCACAGGAGAGAACAAACAAAACCCCCGTATACACAGTGTATCCGAAAGAACACTTCAGTGGAACAGAGTACAGTTTTAACAGTGCACTGAGTTCTCATCCTTAAATCTTAGGATAAAAAAGAAAGAAAAGCCAAGCAAAAATAAAAAGCATTTTTACAGGTACTTTCTTCCACTTTCTTCCACAATGAGCATGCTCAACTGTGCCTGGCTAAAGCATTCTGTTTTATCTTGGTTCTTAATTAAAAAAACAAGGGGGGGGGAAAAAAAAGAAGGAAAAGTAATAAAAGTAATTCCATCACTACAGAACTGGGAAAACTTTGTTCTTCTTTGAGCCACAATGATATGTTGCTTCAATCAAAGTCACATTTTCTTTCCCACAGGGATTCCTCCAGTGTCTCAGCGCATCATAGTATATAGTATGTATATATTATAGTACGTAGTATTATAGTATAGTGCATAATACATGGAGCTCCTGGGACCCCAGAAGCCCCTGCACCACGGGCGCAGTTGGCCCCCGGGCACGGCCACGGTCGGCCCCTGCCCTAGCCCCGGCGGGACAAAGGAGAGTGAGGGGAGGCCTCGCCGGCGGGTGCTGCACCCCCATGGATGAGGGGAGCTTCGGAGCACACAGAGGTTTGCTGTTCCAGGTTTGGGAGGGGGGGGGGGGGGGGGCAGGGGGGGGGGGGAAGGGGGGGAGGAGCGGGAGGGGGGGGAGGGGGGGGGGGGAGTCCATGCAAGAAGTCCTGTAGCGACAGGCGAGGGTCAAAACGGCAGGTGAAAGGTGCACTGGGAGCCGCAGACCCAACCCTGCATGCAGGCGGTTCAGGATATTGGTCATTTGAGACTGACGGAGATGACAGTCTCTTGGGGCAGCACCCTGAACAACCAAGCAGCCTTTTCAAGGACAGCACTGCTTGCTCCACTCGGAGAGGGGCCTAGAAAAGGTGGCCTAAACAAAGCTCATCTCCACCTTCACCCGGTTGGTTAACCGGGTAACCGGTTAACCGGTTGGGCATCTTCTTCCAAGGACTACAAGTCCTGCATCACACAATTTTCTAATGTTCAAAAGCAGAACTCCGGCAAGAAATACCTCAGATATCTACAATTTAATACATCATCGCAGCATGGGTTTTTTGGTGTTTTTGTTTCCCTGCTAGCTTTTGTCATGGGAGGACTGAAGTTCCTCCAGTGAATCATAAAAACATAAATAAAACCCTTCAGATGGATACATTTTTTAGTGCCCAGAAGGAAGGAACTTCCTGCGCTGACACAGGAAGCAGTGGTGGGTACAAAACTGCAAGTGCCCAGACTCATCTTGTGGAAATTAGTTTAATACTGAGCACGCCTAGCAGCTTTCTTAACTCCTAAAAGGAAGCCACTAGCTATCACAGGGAAGCTAATCCTCATGAATTGTACAAACTGAGATTGTGACATGCACCACTGCTTGATGAGGAGAAAGAAGTGCTACCAAGCCCTAGCTGAAGAGCGCACATCTAGACCAGCAAAGCTGTTAGTTGGTAAACCCTCATGGCGGATCTGTTGGCTATAGGGTAAGGTGTTTTGACAGAAGACATGGATAGAGCCACACATCTGTGAGTGGTGGTGCAAGGTCTGCTGTGGTAGAGAACACGTCCTCTTGTACTGGTGAATTAAAAGTATGCATACCTGGACTGCAGGCACTACAGTTACAGTCTGATTTTGTACGGTAAGGATGCATATAATAATCACACAGCTGGCAACATGTACTACATTAGAGGCTATTCCATGGACTGAATCACAACTGGAAATCCAAACATACAATCAAAGTGTAGACCTGCTAAAAACTTTATTTATTTTAGAATTATTTTGGAGTATCTGTACTGGAAAATATCATGGACTTGCTCATAGCTTTTCTCTACAGTTAATTTATGGAGAGAGTAAAGAATATTTGAAATGTTTTATTTGCAGTAAATCTGAACTCTTTATTCAGACAACTCTGCAGTTCTCTTTTCCTGACTGATGTTAATACAAAGCATCTCTGTAGTTTTATTTGATACTTAAAACAAATAAAACTCCCCAGTACTCTACAACTTTATTTCTTTTAAAGAAAAAACTTGGTAAAAGATCATGGAATGTTGAAGTCCCACAGATAACTTTTGAGAGAAGTTGAACTGAACAAGCTCTATTTCTTCTAATGCTTATTCATTAGTAGTTTTATTTCCTAAAGTTTGCATAGAGGCATTTTGGTTCTGTAATTACAATTTCATCTTTGTTACATCCCTAAACAACACCTCATTCCAAAATTCCATAGCAAACCATCAGCCCTGTGGAAAATGCCACATCAGTGAGATTTATTTCAACTTAAGGAAAGTGGAAGCTGTAAATATCACTTTCATCAAGTAATGGTGCAAGTCATTTTACTTTTTATGAAAATGCAGTTGGTAAATATTTAATAGGAGGTAAAATCCTACTGCCTCAAGATTGCTTTTATTATCACTTTTGATCTTTTTGGATAAAATGCAGTTTAAAGTAAACAACTACATCTTGGCAAATGAGTAATTTTATCAAATTTATACACTGATTAGTTCAGGATTCCAAATTATTCCAAACAAAATTCAAGATACTTGAGTTCACAGTGGCTACTTTTCTCGACAAAAACAGGCAAAGAAATGGCTGTTCTGCAGTACAACACACAGTAAAGAGATCCACAAGCAGGCAAGATGACAAAACACAGCACACCTCAGGTGCACAAGGGATCCGACAGGCACATGCAGAGAAAATCTCCCAGCAGGACTTACTGGCTTAAGCATGGTATTGGACAGTCATGGCGGAAGCAGATTCAAACACAACTCAAATCACATTCAAGCTAGCTCACAAGCATCTGGTTTTATTCTTCCTGGATTAAAATCAGACAGGCTCTAATCACACCCATGGATAAAGTTTCATAGAAATTCACTTCAGAAAATGTTTCTTAAAACAGACCATTCAGCACTGTACATTCAGAAAGAACAACTTGAAAGAAGTTCCCTTTTCCTAGCACAACATCATTTTCTGAAGCTGTTTTAGGCTGCAGACAAGTCACAAGAAGTACTTTCTACACTGATCTTAATGTAGTTTGGTTTATGGTTCAGATTAAGGCCTAAGCAAGTTTTAAATATCCTGTTTAGTTTTGGAACATGACAAAAAATTCATATAACATCTTTTGCTGTGTTCACACTTTCTGTTTTGTTACCCTCCCAATTACAATACATATAATAACAAACAAATACATAATAAATCCTATGTGCTTGTGGCCCCGCTCCTTCAGTGGAGAGGTTCAAGGCTGAGCTAGAGAGATGCTTGTCTCCGTTTCTTTTCTTTTGAAGAGCCCCCTTCCATTGAACACACTGTCAGGTATTTAGTGAAATAGTGGAGAATCCTCTACCGCAAATAGAGCCTTTACCTGCTAGAATAGAGCATAGGTTGATCACATTGATAATGCTCATCTACATCCAAGGAAGAAGAAGAAATTGTGGTTGCCAAAGAAGCTGCTTCAAACAGAGATCTAGTGCTTGGCACTAGATCTGGACGGTGGTGTGAACCTAGTACTGTATACACAGAAATAAAGAACAACGTTAACAAATTTCATTTCAATTTGAATCCAAGAATCTTGATGCAAGCATATGGAGTTCCACAGTGCTCTCACCAGCTTCTTGAAGATTCTTAATATTTGAATTGATGAGATAGTAATACTTATGCACCCATACCCACAGTCTTTTGTGTTACAGGGTTAATTTCAGCTGCTAACCAGTACATTCAGCAAAATACAGAGCAACTCAAAGGTCAAATATCAAAGCGAGGTGTAAGTATCTAATTAATTTTTTTAAGTTCTAGGACTGTTCTCATGCTGCCAGGGCTCATTTATCAGAATGGTATCACATTGTTTAGGCTGTTGATTTGAGAGACAGTACCTTCTTCATCAAGGCTAGCATAGCTTTGTCCTTCAGCAAGAATGCCACACTTTTCATCCTTCCACTCCTGGCTAACTGCACACACTACTTCCTGTGATGCGGCCTTTAGGGCTGTGATGGAATTGCACCGTTTCTTTGAAGGTGAAGATTTTAAAGCTGCATTACCAAATGAACACAGGTGTTGAGTTATGTCATCTTATCTCCCTGCACATTTTTAACAGCATATAGAAAAGTAAGCCATCTATAAAAGCTAGTTTCTGAATACAGATGAAGAACATGATCAGATAAAAACCCACTTAGCAAACATTATATTAAAACCAGAGCAAAAGGCATTGTTACTTTATCACTTTTGTCTTTTTCTGGGGTTTCTTACTTCTCATTATAGGACAACAAAAGTCAAGTCACTGACATCACTAAGTTAAATAACTTCTATGAAGTATCAGCCCATGTAATCACAGCCAGAATGATACAGAAAAAAAAGAAGACAGGAAAAGTGAAAACACATTTGGAGTATTCTAAAAGGTTACATCATTTCCTTGAGCTGTGAACTACTGCTATGTAATGAAACTGCAGAATTTCCTCTTCAGACACATATCAAACATCTTCTTTGGGCACAATAAACATTTCCAAAACATTGATGGGCAGTACACTCAGGTATTACCATCTCCTTTAGGCCCTGTACCAGGGCCTGCCTACCTAAAATAGCATTTTGAATTAAACTCGAGGAACTGACCGTTTGTAGTTCTTCTCCAGAAGTATGCCAGCTAATTAATCTAATGTTTTTCAGCTCTTGGCTGCTGATTTCCATGGATTGGCTGCAAGGTTACTTCAGATGCACTCTAACACTTTATACTGTGCTTTACTACAAAGTTAAAATCAAAAGCACCAAGGCCTCTTGGCTAAAGACTGAAGAAAAAATCAGATGCATAGTTCCAGGACATTGTTAAAAAAGAACATAGTAGATAGCTGCTGAGCTAGTCTCTACCCAAGGCTGAATCTGCTTTTTAAGTTTTTCTTATTATTTATGCAGAGTTGTTCTGTGCACTAAAGGAAAAAGCACAGATTCAGAATAGTGCTTAAGTGTTTAAACTGAAATGTCAGACTCAAAGTTTAGAAATAATGTTCCCGAAGGCAGGAACGCGCTCAATTCTTTATTTTATAGAAGAATGATCATGCATTCGAACCACTAATTTGTATAAGGGTAGATTAATAGCCCTGTATGCAGAGTACATCAAGAAGAGTGGGATACTAAGACAGGTTAATAGCCTGGAAAAATGAGACAGATGAATTAAGATAAGAGAGAAAATTAGGCATGATATCCTTTAATTGTACATTGTAGCTTTCAAATACAGAACAGACTGTGTCTTGTACTGAAAAAAATCTAGCAATCAGAATTAGACAGGACTACAAAAAAAAGACTCAAATATTGAGGAAACATATATGGTATTTATTTCGTCAAACAGACAGAAGTATCAAGTAGTAAGGAGTAGATACTCCTTCCTCTTTATAAATGCAGAAGAATTTCTTTGAGTATTGTCTAAGACAACAGAGCTCCTACCAATTCTCTGGCAAAATTATTCTATTACTTAAAGAGGATTGAGTCTCAGGAGGCTCCGTCCTCATTTCAGCTGAATTTTGTTTCATATTTTGTTTTGTCACATCAGATTCTTTTATTTTCATATTTTTATATTAATAAGTCTTTTCTGAAGGATTTAACATTTAAATCTTAAATCATTAATTTATGATAGTCATTCTTGTAGTCATTCTTTTTTCCTTAAATCTCATTTAGTTCTAGCATTCGTGTTTTGTTCTCCCTCTATTCGCATAGACTTGTTTCTCACTCCAGATAACTAATGAAAAACTTAAGAGACCAGTATAATACTGGTAAAAATATTTGAAAAACACCTTCTATCAGTTTAATACAATACCATATGCTTAATACTCCTCCTGTAGTATTTGAGCCAAGTATCCATTCCATACTGACATTCAACTCTGAAGCAAATCTTGTTCCATGAGCAGGATTATGGATCTGCTAACCAGGATTCATTTTTAAGCACAAGTTCCTGTATAAACTAGATAGTTCTAGCCCATCAGTTTATATTTATTCGTCAAGTACTCTGCTTCATAAAAAAACTTAAAAGCCAGAAAACACTCTTTGCTAGAGGGTAAGCAGGAACAGCCCCTATTAGAAAGAAAGACAAAAGAAGGTGCAATTTCAGCACCACCTCTACAGGTTTAAAAAATAATCTGGTAGTAAAGTGGTAAGTTAGTATGTATGCACAGTATTTAAAACAGGTGATCTGTATGTCTTACTGTAAGGTGAACCTCAGCACTCACATAATCAGAACAGCTTTTCCCCAAAGAACAGCCTGGACCACATCAAACCTCATTTTTGCCTTGCCAGTATATTTATTATATACTGGCAAGGTATATAATAGGTCTTCCTATAGCCTTCCCTACTGCAAACATCCTGAGTTCATCTCCACAGTTGTTATAGAATGGCTTATGTTGGAAGGGATCTTAAAGATCATCTAGTTCCAACCCCATCAACACAGGCAGGGACACCTTCCACTAGACCACTCAGAGCCCCATCCAGCCTGGCCTTGAACAATTCCAGGGATAGAGCATCCCCAGCTTCTCTGAGCAACATATTCCAGTGCCTCACCACCCTCACTGTAAAGAACTTCTTCCTAATATCTAATCTAAATCTACCCTCCTTCAGCTTAATGCCATTCTCTCTTGTCCTGCCACTACATGGCCTTGTAAAAAGTCCCTCTCCAGCCTTCTTGTAAGCCCCCTTTAGGTACTGGAATGCTGCTACAAGGTCCCCCCAGAGCCTTCTCTTCTCTGGACTGAACGACACCTAGCTTGATTTTACAGGAGAGGTGCTCCATCCTTCTAATCATCTTGGTGGCCTCCTCTGGACTCGCTCCAACAGATCAATGTCCTTCCTGTTCTGGGGACCCCAGAGCTGGGTGCAGCACTCCAGGTGGGGTCTCACCAGACCAGAGCAGAGGGGGAGAAACACCTTCCTCAACCTGCTGACCACGCTGCTTTTGATGCAGCCCAGTATTCTGGTGCACATTGCCAGGTCATGCCCAGCCTCATTCACCAGCACCTTCAAGTCCTTTTCAGCAGGGTTGCTCTCAATCTGTTCATCCCCCAGACTGTATTGATAAAGAGGGTTGCCCTGATCCAGTGCAGCACCTTGCAGCTGGCTTTGTTGAACCTCATGAGGTTCCCATGGGTACACTTCTCAAGCTTTTCAGGGCCTCTTTTGTCCCTCATCACCATCCTTCTCTGCACTTGCAATGCTTCAGACTGAATTTCCTTTCAGTAGCTTGATCAACTCATAGAGAAATTATCCATCAATTCATTAATATTTATAAGACTCCCCAAAAGACTTATTTTCCTAAAAAGTGGTCATAACGTATCATGCATATAGGGAATACTTAGGGTTAATTCAAATTCTCTCTTTTTTTTTTCTAAAGATTCCTTCACTTTACTTAAAATATCTTAATTTTTTTTTAGTACAGCTACTCTCAGCTCTCTTCTTTCATCCATCTATTCTATTCTTTTTCTTATTTAGTATTTCACAAAATATTTATCACGTACACTTCTGCTTTCTTGCTGCACTATCAGTTTTCTCTCTTCTTTCTTGAACTTTTAGATATAATAATTTATGTTATTCTATTCTGCCATGTCTCTAACATTGGTTTTCATGGACAGGGTGAGAGTTTCACAAATTCAACTGATCTTTAGAAAAGTGTTATTATCTTTAGGCAACATATAGAGCAACAAAGGCCAGTAGAGCCTGAAAAATACTGACTTCCAGTGGTAAAAATTTAAGTGAAAAGAAAATCTGATCTGAACTTTTGATGGAAGAAGCCTATATCAAGGTGAGTCTCTAAACTTTGAATTTTCTTTTTTTTTTTCTGCAGTATGAATAAACTTATCATGCCCAGAGGAACTACAATTCAAGACAGATATGAATATGTGATCTTATGTTCAAGATGTGTATTCTTGAATGATAGGTAATTTTCCCCTGTTAATTATCAAAGTCAGGCTAAATGCAGCAAGTCTGAAAATAAATCTGTTCCTGAGCACTTGCTAATTCTGTTGGTTTGCTTTGTAGTTGTACCCAGATTATGAAAAAATATCCCTACTGCTCACTCCATGGGGATAAGACAACATTAATTTGTTTGTTTCAGTTTGGAATCAAGAAACAAAATGTGATAGCTATTTCTCCGATATTTTTTGCTGAACTCTAACTTCATATGCCTACATGGTAGGCAGTTTGGACTCTTAAAAAGTTACAGTGCACTGGTTTTGGCTGAGACAGACTTAATTTCCCTCATAGTAGCTCTGTGGTTCTGTCTCTTGGATTTGTGTCAGAAACAGTATTAGCAGCACATGAAGGTTTTAGTTATTGCTGAGCAGTGCTTGTATCTCAGACTGCTTTGCCAGTGAAGAAATGGATGTGCACAAGAAGTTGTGAGGGGACACAGCCACGACAGCTGACCTCAGCTGACCACAGGAATATCTCAGACCACATGGCATCAGGCTGAGCGATATAAGATGGGGTAAACAGGAGCAAGGGGTAAACATTTATGATTAAGGTATTTGTCTTCCTAAGTCACTGTTACATGTGATGGAGCCTGGCTTTCCCAGAGATGGCTGAACACCTGCCTGCCTATGAGAGTGGATGAATTCCTGAATTTAATTTGTTTTCACATACAGCTTTTGCTTTCTGTATTATACTATCTTTATCTCAGTCTAAGAGTTTTCTCACTTTTACCCTTCCATATCTCTCCCCCATCCCACTTGGATGAGTGATTGTCTGTTTGGGGCTCAGCTGCCCATTGAGTTTAAAACACAATATACAAGAACTCACCTACATAGGATCAGTTTTCCCTCCATTCCCAATACCTAAAGAGGATCTACAGTTTCAGGGTCTACTTTAAGTTATAGAAATCAATTAATTTTTTTTGAGAGAAGTGACAATCAATAGTTAAATTACTGCTGCAAGACTTAGACTTAAGCCTTTGGACAACCCTTGGTAGAAATGTCCCTCTGTAACAATGGTGGGGTTCTCTTTGCTTTATTTTTCCCTCTCCCCTCTGTACTGGTTTTGAATGGCAAGGTTTTGTAGTAGAGGCAGGGGGCTGCAGGGTTGGCTTCTGTGAGAAGCTGCCAGAAGGTTCCCCCATATCTGATACAGCAAATGCCAGCTGGCTCCAAGAGGGACCTGCCATTGGCCAAAGCTGAGCCCATCAGTGAGAGTAGTAGCATCTCTGGGATATTGTATTTAAGGTGCACGGTGTGTGTGTGTACAGCTGGAGAAGCGAGAATACATGACAGCAACAACTCTGCGGACACCAAGGTCAGTGCAGAAGGAGGGGAAGGAGGTGTTCCAGGCACTGGAGCAGAGATTCCCCTGCAGCCCATGGTGCAGACCATGGTGAGTCAGCTGTCCCCCTGCAGCCCATTGAGGTTCATTGTGGGGCAAAGATCCATCTGCAGCCCATACTGGAGCAGGTGGATGTATGAAGGAGGCTATGACCACATGGAGAGGAGCCCATGCTGAAGCAGGCTCCTGGCAGGACCTGTGGTCCTGAGGAGAAAGGAGCCCACACTGGAGAAGGTTTACTGGCAGGACTTGTGAACCCATGTGGGACCCATGCTGGAGCCGTGTGTGAAGAACTTCAGCCACTGAAGGACTAACACTGACAAAGTTTGTGCCACTTAGGGGGAAGAGAAAGAGAATTCTGGAGTCAAGTTGAGCCTGGGAAAAAGTGAGGGGGGGGAAGCTGTTTTTAAGATTTTGTTTTATTTCTTATTACTCTACTCAGAGTTGATTAGTAACAAACTAATTTCCCTTAGTTGAGTCAGTTTTATCTATGACTGTAATCGGTGTGTGATTTCCCCCGTCCCTATTTGGACCCACGAGCCTTTTGTTATAATTTTTCCCCCCATCCATTTGAGGAGGGGGAGTGATAGGGTGGCTCGGTGGTCACCTGGCATCCAGCACACATCACCCTGTAAGTAGATAACAGTCATATGTATATTACCCTTGGGAATTAATTAAAAGATGAAGGAAGGAGAAATGGAGGGGGAAACTAGAAATGGTTGATAGTGATAAAGACAAGAGATTTTATTAGTATCCAACTTTGGATATTTTTTCCTTCATAAAGCACAGAAAAAATGCACATTAAAGGGAAGAATACTTAATTTTTCAAACATGCTGGCAGTGGCATGTAGAAAATCTTTATTTTTGCAAATTAAATAAATTAAAATCAATGTAGATATTCCTACAAATACCAGATACAGGATTGGACATATCATTAGATCATAAAATTTATTTATCTTTATATCAATGCTGATATATAGGAACCTCTTTTACCTTCAGATGCCCCAGATGTGACAAAAATACATAGCAAATAATTCTCTGTAATTTTACTATTAGAGTATAATCCCAACTGATTATCCGAAATTTAGTTTCTTCACTGGAGTTATGAAAATGTTACATGATGTTGAAGAAAGGCTTATTTTATTGCAAAGGCAGGACCGTTATATAGTAATAATAATAAAAATTTCTAAAGGAGTAAAATCACTACTTGCTTACCTTGGACTTTCTTGAAAACCCTTGTGCTCATAAACTTTAAAAATCTGTCTGCATAAAAACTTGGTCGGTGAACTGAAACAGTGTCCTATGAGATTGAAAAAGGTCTCAGTCACATTTTCCATAAGTAAATCACAAGCAAAGTGTCAAGAAAGAAGCTGGACACCTCAGGTGAACTGTATTATACATTTCAGGCATACTCATAAAAATTTTTCCCTTTTAAAGGTTGATTTTTCAAGAACGTTTTTTAGGTATTTAATTTATGAAATTATGAGTTATGAATTATACAGCTATATTCTGCAAAATCTTCCAAGTATTTGAAATGTGTTTTTTCACACAATGTGTATTTTTCAGTTACAGATCCATCAATGTCCTGCTAAGCGGCTGGTCTTGTGTAAGTTATAAGGACAAGCTGATAATGTTAGTTGTTTTTTGAAAGCTCAACAAATAAAATCAGAACATGTATTGGGAAGATTTCAGAAACAGCCCAAACCACATGGTGATGTTAGACTACAAATATACCACAGCTAGCTTTTTTCTGGTTAATATAAATCAAAGTTCCATTAGCTAAAATATTAGCAGTTTAAAAAAATAATGAAATCTACTTACCCCATCATAAACAAGAGCTTTCCAAGAATGTTCCAGCTTCTTCATTAACCTAAACATGTAAAAACAAAATCAGAACTGCTTTATAAAATTTTCACATTTATAAGTCATTTCAGAATAGCTTATTCAATGAAAACTCGAAATTCAACTTACCTATAAGACTGGAGAATATCAATAATACCCATAAATAGAAGCAGCTTTTCTCCTTTATGGTTTTTCACAGGAATACCTCCCATTCTAAGAGAAATAGAAAAAAACCCTTGTTAGATTATATACTAATTATGTAAATTATGTATTAATGTGCTTTTCCAAAATTTCTTTACAGACAGGTCAGTGGCAGAAAAAGCAATAGTATCAAGCTGAGTATCCTAACTACATGGGCCTCCAGTTGGTCCAGGGTATTTACTCAGCCACGACCTTAAAGAACGAGAATGTTCATCCTAAGACCTTCTCTTCCTACTCCACCTAGAAAAAAGGGTGCATTGTTCTAGAACCAGAAATCCAATTTTCAGTTTGTCAGCTTCTGTTCACATTCATGAGTCCACTACAAAACCAGAAGTAAAAGTGACTGAGGATGCAGCTCATGCAGTACCTCTGAATAATTTTTAGCAGTTTGAGAAACAAAAAACTGAAGCAGCTATCAAAGACACAGTCAAGAGTATTTTCCCCATTCTGCCACTAAAGCAACGAGAGAGGCCTGGTTACCAATTACTAAACTTTCTCTTTTTTTTGGCATAGGAAGGGGGGTGGTGTGATGTGTGGTAGCAGCGTGTGGTGGGGGTAGGGGTGGGGAGTAGAGGAGAGGGAAACACATTTTTTATTATTCTAGGCATAAAGGAAACCTTGTAAGAATCAGTGAAGTTTAACTTACTGTAAAATCCCATTACCATGAACTCCAGCTCAATTAACTGGTCAGACATTCAGAAGTGTTAAACAGTTAACAAAACTATATTCTGTTAGCTTTTCCTGGAAATTATGACTAGAAATTAAACACAGTGCTAGCAGCAGTTATTGCTGCTGGGTATCCATTCTCATCCTCTTCTTTATATAGCCTTACAATGAACCACAGCAGAAGACTGACCTAGGGGTCTTTTCTGTAAGATCTAGGCTTAATTTCATCCACCTTAGTGAGGTTTGTCCCACTAGTAGTAATGTCAATATGAGAGAGGAGATAGTGCAAGGAGCCAAGGAAGGACTCTACTGCTGCAGTAGGCTTTCACTACACTTTTCAGGATATGTGTCTATATTATATACGATCTATATTAGCTCAAGTGATGTGGAGTGCAGGGTGGGTTTCCATGTATGAACACTTTCTGGAATGACCTATATAATCAGTTTTCCCAACACCCCTCAAAACTGCCAACACAACACCTCTACCACCACATGATGCACCATAGCACTGACCATCTTCTGTGTGAATGTGAGTGAGCTGTAAAAACTGAGTGAAATAAAGCTCTGTCTAATTTATATTCTAGAGCTCTGAACATCTGAAAACTCTCTATGAATGCTAAATATCATAATTCTCCCATTTGTTTGCTGTGGGTTTAAGCACGTTTCTATATCATTAGTTGTATTTACCCACAAAGCAGAAAAGCAGATCCTGAATTTAAAATTAAATTCTCATTATAATGAAAGAATGATTATATACAATGCTGAATGGTGAAGATAATGCTCTTACTAGCACTTAATATATTATGAGGGAAATAGAATAACTATTGTTTATGTAATCAAATTTCTACTGCACTTTTTACTAGACAGTAAAAATAAGATGAAAGTAGCAGTTCTTAATCTCAGGAAATATCATATATGACTGCACTTCAGTGTCTGAAGATACCATTCTATGTATTGAGCATACTACTTCAAGATGAAAATGACCACATCTATGTCAATATGAACAAATAATTTTTGCTTATGTCTCACCACACTGCTTCCAATTAAAATTAGATTACAGTAGGGACTCTTGTAATAGCTGTCTTATAACATCTCTTTTACAAAAGAATGCATTTGTGCATACATAAGTCACTCTGAACTAACCAAATTTGCTATCATGTATTTAAAGATGATCAATCTACTAATCAACATTTTAATTTCATGCTCTGTGGTAAATCTTGATGATGCAGCTTTTGGAAAACAAACAAACAAAAAGGCTCAAACTTTCAATTTCTGAAATGCAGTGTACTCATGAATGTTTTGCCTGTTAATAGTTTTAATAGTAACCTTAAGAGCAGGTTATGGCACTTACGTGTTTGTTGTCTCTGTGGTGACAGAGTCCCCTGACTTCCCAGGGCCCTGTATAGACTCCATAGCTGTGGAATAGAGAACCTTCTGCCCTCCATGACGTTTTATGTCTGCTGCAGTTTGGGAACCCTCTTCCTCTTTTTCCTTCATGTCACTGTTCAGTATGTGGATTCCCAGTAGCAGACTGTAATCCATGATCTTAAAACTTTCTAGAACCTACCGACAAAGAAGAAAAGGCTATACTGAAAAAAAAAGAAGAGTTACACAGCAGCATTTTGCAAACCTAAGCAAAATCATACCTTCAAAGCACAAGCTTCTCTTGTTAGAAAAATGTGTGAAATTATAGTTAAAAATCCTTTACTATCCCAAACAAGTCATAGTGCTAGTTATCTATTTAGCTCAATGTTCTTGTTACAAGTGCAAAAGAAAGATGCATAGCTGAAATGTAACCTGATATTATTTTGCAGACAAGAAAGATAATTCTAGGTAACATCTTTTTGTTGATAGCAAATAATCAATTAATAGTTCCATCATATACTTATGAAGTACAGACTTTTAAAAGTAATCTCTAATGCATGTTCCAGACCTTACTGAGCATTTTGCCTATGTTACTCTCTATCTCTTCTCCACCTTCTGTTTAAAACAGAGAGTGTTTCTTTGAGAACTTTCAAGTGTTGGAAAAGCATTTGCTACCACCCTCTCATTAACAGCTGATGGGTTTTGAGTACAAAAATCATGCACTTCTCTGTTGTAGGGTACCTGTCGTGAGGTCTTGGTCCGAAGGGGGGAAGAAAGACACACAAGACACACTAGGATGGTGAGACAAAGAGATGTCTGCCTGCTCAGCGGAGCAGGCAGCCTTTATTGAGCTCGCTAACCTCTACTTTCCCACACACACAACATAAACATATTCTCACGAAAACATCCAGGAATTCAAGCACCTGCACATTACCAAACAGTCTTAACCTTGTACTCTTTGCAACTCAAGGCTGTGTCCATGGAAACTATCTAGTCAGCTCCACTGCTCCCATGGAACACGGCCTAACTTTTGCAATACCTCAAACCTTTCAAACTTCAGTTGTGGGGCTGCGACTTCACCCCACACTTCTCCATTAGGCTAAATATGGACTATCTAAACTCAAAGACAAGTTTTACTTCTGAAGTATGACTTATTTAACCAGCCTTCTCTTCTAGCTCTACCAACCATTTTTGTCTCTATCAGTAGGCAAGTCCCCTTTCTTCTCTCATACACCTGTACTGTCAAGAGTTTCGAGTCAGCGACGCTGTTATGAAGTCTGGGATGCTGCCATTGAAAGGTAAAATACAGTTCAAGTCAATACCTAAACATGAACTAAAACAAGCTGTGATCACATCTAGTAATATAACCAAACTGTTTGCAGACAGCAACTGATGTCTTACATAACAGCAGTGCTAAGCGGAGGGAGAAAAACCAGTAAAAACCAGGAGGGATATTGCTGTGCCACTCACTTCTCCTTTACCTCATGCAGCTCAGCAATGATTCATGGTACATTTTGACACACAATGTCCTAAGATAATGGTAATGTAATTTTTGGTACAAAATCAAGAGGCAACAGTACATATTTTTACATGAACAAGAACAAAATGTGATTTTGCAGAAATGACAGAGCACTAAGTCCAGGTATGTAATTTTGATGAAGATTATCCAAGTACAAATATTTTTATACAAAACACTGAGAGGGTTAAGTAGAAACATCCCTTCTCTTATGAAAAAAAGGGCAGTTTCAGCACCTCCGCAGGTTTAAAACATAATTGGCAGTAAATCAGTAACTTAGTATAGATGGATACTAAACCAGTTGATCTGTATATCTTACCATAAGGTTTATACACCACTAATCCTAATTGTAGCAAAAAACCTTACTGCTCAGATAACCAGAATAGTGAAGAAACAAAACATAACACACTGTAATCTAAATGCAGAAAGGCACAGCCTCATTCTGATTTCCAAACACAAGGGGTGACTTTAGAAGACGTGGTATGTTTGCTCTTGATCAAAGTAATTCTGCGCTGTGGCAGGTTAGTTCAAATGGAACAAGAAAAAGGCTGTTAATGTATCCCCTTGGTACTCCCACAGCACCTTCTGATGACAGATCTCACACAGGGTTTCAGCCACAACAAAAAAATGTATTCTAAATTACCATACAACAAGATCCTAAAATTGAACTGTGCATTGTGTGGGAATGTTGGTGGCTAGTAAATTCCTTGTTTATGATCATAAATTGCAAAAACTGCATGGCTAACAGGTACAAAGGCACTTGGTGCTAAAAAGTTCTAGAATTTTCTTTACTGCTTACTTTTGCTACCCTTTACTCAGAATTTCTCAAAAAGAAATTACTATATAAAGTGTTCATTAAAAAAAAGGAAATAGTGAATGTTTGCCATCAAATACTCAAAGTAGATTGTGGGTAAGCTGAAAAATAACACCTTAGTAGTACAGTAAGCAACACTGTCTATGCAAAGCCAGACTACAGCACCTAGTCAGGCTTGGAAAAACTACTGCTATTTTTATTTTACAGTTATAAACTACTGCTGACACTTCTGTCTTCAACCTATTCCTTACTATCTTTTGAATTAGATCACATTAGAGACATTACGATTTTACTGCACTAATTAGATAACCTATGTCTAGGACTGGATGTAACTTCATGGAAGGCTGTGGTGTAATGTGCTGCTACTTCTTCCACAGGGACCTCTTATGTAATAAAATTAACCTTTCTGACTGCATCAATTTACCATTGCCACTTAAACCCATAATACTTGTACAATACAATGGACTGTTCTTTGACAATTTATGACTTTGTCATAGGATTACTAAAAAGCATCATAAGAACAAGTAGCTATTTTGTTATTTTAGTTCATTATGAGACTGAAACATCTGCACATCCAATGGATTAACTGCACTACAGATTCTTACAAATAGCACGTAGCATATGAACTGTAGCCCTTGCTCCCCAGACAGTCTGTTCATGGCCCTACTCAGAGATAGGACTGTCCTGTTCAACAAAGTCTCTTTAGGATATTATAACGTGATGTGGCCCTCTGTCTGCCTACAGGTTTGATGTACAGTTCTGATGACTTCCCCTTAGAAATTTGATAACCAAACCAACCACTCCTTATGCAAACGCACCTTTTTGAACACATCAAAGCATGTTTCACTCCCCGTTTGTTTCTGATGAAAATTCTGGTAAGAAATAACTACCAGAATAACAAGGAGGAATCAGCACTCAACAAAAACTTACTTTGTGTCAAACTCTCAGCCTGTATTAAGACAGAAATTTTACTTAATCTGTGGGATTTCCAGCTGAATATATCCAAAGGATTCTCACATATGTATCTTCATGAATATTTAAAATACCAAATTGTGAAAATTTTTAAATGTGTAGGTAACGTTTTGCACGCACAGTTGTAAAAAACAATCTGGTTTGCTGAGGACAAGTTATAAAATGCAGCACATCAAGATATTTCTGGGCATGCAGCATTCTATGAGAACATAAAAAAAGCACAAGCTTTTTCCCATGCTGAGGTTTACTTGGAGATACCTTTGACAATTTTAGAAAGAGCTGCTTTTAAGATGCAGCATGTTTTGCTACAAAGTCACCAAAATGATAACCTATTTTAATGAAAAAAACACTCAAATCACAGTATTACATAGCAAAAGTATTCATAGCAAAAGGAGAAAGACCTGATGCCATCTATGTGAAATCACTAAAAATTGACATTAACTACCAGAAATACACTACTTTTGTAGTTAAAGTGAGAGAAATTGAATCTGTGCTCATGTAACCACCCTAAAATGTACCTTGCTAGCAAAATGGCACTGTGAGATTTCAGCAATATAGTCTTAATCGTGCTGTGTACTTACAAGAAAGTGTTGCATTTAATAACGACAAGTAAACCTTCAGTTCATCAACTTGACATTAAATTGTTCACATCATTTGTATTTATATAGGTGTTATTTAGCTAGCTTCACAGATTCTGTTAACACAATGTTGTCACTTAGTCACCAAGTACTGCTGGCAAGGCTGACTTCAGTTGCTCTGACAACTTCCAGATGGCAAGTGTCGTTCACAGATTTAAGCCTTATGCACTATATTGCTTTCATACTACATAAAAACCCCAGTAAAATGGTATCAGAAAGTATGCCATTTCAGAACATGAAAAATAACTCTATGGCTCAGATCTTCTTTTCTTAGAGCCAATCAGATGTTAAAGCGTTCTGTGAATCATCTTAGACATAGTTACACTCCACTATCTCAACCAGTGACTAAGAGAGCAAAACAAGTATTTCTGCTATGAAATGTCATTTTTATTTTACATGCAGCCAGCCCAAGCCACACATTATCTGACAGAGAAATCTGCATTCATGTTGTTATCCGTGCAAAACAACACGCAAAAAAGTCAGTGGGTTATTTTCATAAAAGGGTCAAGAAAAACTAAAACCAAAAATTTACAGGTTTATGACATGCAAGTAGTGAAAGGATAACCATGCAAGGAAGAATTTCTTCTCCTACAAGAATTTTGGAAAAAGGACATAGGAATTAACAGAAAGAAGTTGATTTTACAACAAATCAATAATTACTCTTCAACATAAGGAGCTATATCAAATCAACACAAAATAAGAGACTGTCTCACAAAATAAGCATTTCTTAGAAACAAGTACACAAATGCCAATGCTTAGCAATGCATCTGGTTTAGAAAAAATCTATTCCAAGAAAATGAATCACCACCTCCCCACCAAATCACTTCCCATTTCAACAGAATTACAGCATCACAAAATTTGCTGAGTTGGAAGGGACCAACAAGGATCATCAAATACAACTCCTAGCCCTGCACAAGACCATCCCCCCAGTGCCTGACAGTATCAACCAAATGACTCTTGAACTCTTGTAGGCTTGGTGCTGGGACCTCTTCCATGGGGAGCCTTTCCAGTGTCCAACCACCTCTCACTGAAGAACCATTTTACAATATCCAACCTAAACCTCCCCTGACACAACTGCAGGCCATTACCTCAAGTCCTGCCACTGGTCACCACACGAAGAGATCAGTGCCCTCTTATTCCCTTCACAAGGAAGTTGTAGACCACAATGAGGTCGCCCCTCAGTCTCCTCCAGGCTGAACACACCAAGCGACCTCAGCCTCTCCTCATACGGCTTCTCATCAAGGCCCTTCACCATCTT